TTCTATCTTTAATCTTCAACTCTCTGTTCACTATCGGTTACTTTCTCTTAACAGGGTGTGGTCTGAAACGCAAACCCCAAAGAGCTTAGATATGAACGAAAAGTGAAGCCTTGGTTTGGCTCAACCTGCAATTATTCGAGAGCTCGCTGCCTCCATCACATCAAAATAGCCCTTCGCATGTTTCTGTATCAGCCACACTTTATTTCTGTTGGTTTTATCACCAATCACCTATCGACGAAAATGAGCTGGATAGACAAATTTGAACTGAATAGACTTAAGCTGAAGCTGAAGTCAAAATCATTGTTTCGACCGCGATGTCATAGTTGTGTGTGAACTCGCCTTTCATCACAGATGACGGCCATAACTAAGATAAGCGAATAATCCCCGGATAATAAGCGATAATAATAATAAGCGTCCCCGGATAGGATGAAACGTGGGTTCGATTCCCGCCTGAGGCCGTGTTTTTGTCCACCACTCAATTCTCTTAATCTACGTTGTTTTAGATGATACACAGAACACATCATCACAGCAACCATAGTTGATTTACTAGAGTTTACGTGAATTTGAAGTAAGAAATAACCTTGTCTCCAACATAACATTCGCAGTCAACAGAGGTTGAAGAGTCAGGTCTTGACGACGGCAACCAAATATGCTCAGCTGGATGAATCTGAAATCCGTCTTGAGCTCAATAATTCTGTGAAGAAGCTTTAAGCGTCTTCGGAAAATTTTGAAGCACGAATAAACTGAAGCACTAAAAGTCAGCAAAGCGCTTGACCTCCCTAAGCTTTATAATTTTCCATTTGCCAAACCAATTTCATGCTCATTCTGATTTGCTCTTCCTTTTCTTTTCAGTTGTTCTTCTAATATCTCATTCCTTTACGACTGAGAACAAGTAAATTGTTAAATTTCTAAATATTTCCCATGTTTTTACCAAATCTGGCAGTTACCTCTAACCATTCCCTGAGGATTATATTGTTTATAACTTGAGAAAAAATTTAATAAATAAATTTGGGTCACTGAAATTCGCAGTGCCATAAATACAGAAGAAAATTAACGCTAAAGAATGTAGAACTTGTGGGATCGCTCACTGTCGAAATTCCTTTGAAATAATCGATCAGGATTGTTCTTCTAAAGAATGGAAACAAAACTTTCTTATTGTTTCTCCATGATCTTTTCCCTAACGATTTATCCATATGATGGGTGGGTAAATAACAGCACACAACGAATCGGTTAATATCTCGGCCTCCATCACTCAGCACTCATCAATCCCTTCATCTCTTCGAGGCCCGAAAATTAATACCAGACTTGCCTGGGAGCATAACAATATTGATTCTATACATGGACAAGTCACCTCAGGTCATTCTAAAAAAGCGAAAGGATAACTGCAAAAAATCCACCTTTTCGCCTCCGTGCAGTCTTATTTCTGCACCGCAATGACTTTAGAGATTTTCAGATGTCATACTTAGCAATCTGAGTCGGTGAAATTCTTAAGCAATCATTTTTCGTTTCGCAGACATTCAGGAGTTTAGAACTTCTGCTTTACAACACATCATTATAAAAAAGGATCAAGCTCTCGGCATTGACCAATACCTCGGGGATGAGTCATGCATCCGTTTTCAATTTCAACTTCGTTTAAGGTGATTGAATGCATATCTGGTCTTTGCAATGACTCGCGGTGCCCTCTCGCTGTATCGAGTCAGCTTATCCTCCCAAATGAGTCTGATACCACTCTTGTACCATTTTCCGAACCCGGAGGAATGGATGGCTTGCTAAGCCATGGGCGTGAGTTCGAACCATCGGCCTCGTGTGCGACGCAAAGCACCTCTAACCATCGTTATAATAATGATATTATGAAAAAACGTCAAACAAAACACTAATGAAAAGAAGTAAAAGTCGCTTAAAGTTAACTAATTCATCAATGCCACCAAATGTGCCCTCTTTCAATATGGTAGTGAAGGAGCTATATTAATGAAGATTAGTCTAAGCCTAAGCTCATGTGGCGCAGTGGTTAGAGGTGCTCTGCGTCGCACGCGAGACCAATGGTTCGGTCTCGCGCTCAAATCACGAGCATTGAAAATGTGACATAAATTTGAGTTGTTTTCTTTAAAAACACTCCTACAATTTATGAATGCATAGCTGAGCGCGCAACATATAGTGCAACACACACATAGTGATCACGATCACTTGCGCGCGTTCTGTTCAGCATTCCTTGACCTTTACTTCAAGCTTATTCAATGCATGGTGCTAGGTCTGTTCATTGGCATAGTTGTGGAACCTATTTATCTTGCTATTCAAGGAGAACGCTGGTAAGATGGATTTTAACGAGAAGCCAACCTGTTCATCAAGCCAATAGCGGCTGGTTCTATGCTTGTTCACTATCCGTGCTTCCTGTTCTACAGCTGATCGCTTGACCATCGGTGATTTCGCCAACGCTTTTCTATAAGCCAACACTCTGAGGGGATTGATGGAACTTAACTCGATAAAAAAAGAGGAAAGTTTTGCCATACCTTTCGTTTCGAGTGTTGACCACGCTCAAATTTCAATATGCCTGACAATTAGTTTTGAGCCATGCATGTGGTCTGTTATGAGCACTTATACAGTGCAAAGCACAGTGCAATACACAAATAATTATCAGGCATATCAATATTGGGTGTTTTCTCAAGAAACGCTTTATACGAAAGGTATGATATTACTAGGCCTTTTTTTTGTTTTCTTTTATTCCTGACTTCTTTTAATTGGACAAAAATACGGTTTATAAGGGTGAATTTTTCAACCGCCTATATTAATCTTCCTTATGTATTGACTACTTCGATAAAAATATCTTGAGGGGACTAACTGATGGAACGAATGTTTTCACTAAAAGCATTTTTGTAATAAGAATCTCAATTAATTGAAGTCGTCCTGCAACCTAAACAGATCCGACAAGCTTTCCATTCGACTAGGTCGTCTCAACGCAAGTGCAGTCGATGGTGGATCGCAACTTCTCGATCTGGACGTTTTTATGATCTCAATCGGATTTGATGACTCAAGGTCGGACTTGGTAGAGCTATCTCTGGAAGTGATTGACAGCAGTCTATTCCTTCGTCCAAGAATGGAGAGGTCTACTGAGTTTGAACGTGATTTGGCTCCATCTAAGTCGGAGGAGCATGGTGAAAGAAATGTGCTCGGTACGAGAAGTCTTGAGGTTATCAGATGAGTCGGCAGTTGTGAGTTGGATAATTCGACATCGCTGTGGCATCGCCCAAGAGACGGTGATGACAACGGCGAACTGGATGCGGAGCTGAAAATACGACACTGAAATGGTTAGAAAAATGAAGAATGACGGCATAAAAATTATAAGAACTTATTGAGCACTTAGATTTGTTACAAATATAGCGCAGTAACTATAATAATAAATATTGGGTTTTATCTCTGGCGCTATTCAACCTCATCCTGTTGGATTGCATGAGGTATTCACTAAAAGGTTTTCGACGTCGTAGAAGCTTTTTATTCAGCATTTGAACTTTATTCGATGATTCATCAATGTTTAAGACATATCAATTTAGAATCAAGCTATCCTTTGACATCATTGAAAAAGCGTAGGAAGCACAGTGTTTAGAGATTTCGTGCAGCGCAATCAAGTCAGCAAATTGACGTGTCTGATAGATGTTTTAAGCTTTTCAGAGATCTGATATGCTAGTGATATACGTACGTTTCGCCGTTCTCGCACGTCCTCACCGGTGTCACATGCCATAAGGCTAACCCTACTACTAATAGCAGCGATGCCACAGATGTGTCAGCCTAGACAAAATGAAACATCACTTGATGTTGCAGTTTATACTAATTTGAGTCGATAGCTTACAGCTTCTACGGAACATATGGCTATACCTTCCAATTGAGACCTCGCTTGAAAGTTCAATATAGTCTGACAGAATGTTTTGAGCCTCTCAGAGGTCTGGTGCGCTAGAAGCACACGTACATTTTGGCGTTCTCGCGCGCCTAATCAGTGCTTCATAGAGAGGCAAAAATGATAACCTGGGAAAGTTTTTGTGAAGCTATCTCAGGATTCTAGAGAGGGAGATTCAACACAACCAGCCTTGAGCAAAATTCACAAAGAATATGAAATTACGTGTGGCAGCCGAACCCATAAGCATTTCGAAATACTACAGTGGATATTAGTTGAGCATTTCGTTAAAGGTGAATAAAGACTATGATGAAAAGATTGGAGCCAGTGAACCAAAAGAGGTAAAGCTTTGACCCCATCGAGACGTGGCGAATGTGGCCTAGTGGCTATCAGCCCTTGCAACACATAGGTTCGACGATATGGCCAAGACTCACCAGGCCTTCCATCTGTGCGGAGTCAACAAATTGGTAGCAGACTTGTCTGGAAGGTTAGCAGCACTGAACTGATACATCAGGGGCTACTGTGAGTTACTACATAGGGTAAAAATTTATTCATTCACCTTTAACGGGATGCTCAGTGATGTCGAATGCATGGCTATCTTTTAATGGTTAGCCGTTTAGGGACAGCATTTTATCGATCGTACAGCGCAACTTGCAAGTGGCGCGCGATTTACGTTATTCAGTAAGAGTTTCTCGTCTATTTGAGAAGCATCCTTAGGATTTTAGGGTTACTCTGATACTCAATGATTTTCTCTACATGGCTATATGCTTTTCGTGCATATTTAACCTTTCTGTATGATAAAAACTTTGAGTGCAAAACGTAATCTCTTTTCGCTCTCACAGTGTGCTGTGATAACGTTCCACAAAATCAATTGCAGCATCAAAATTCTAGAGATTTAGGAGATCAAATAGCTAATAAGAATTTGGCAAAGAGCAGTATAGAAGCCCCAGCCGAGTAAATAATTAAAACTGAGTGTGAAACAGGACTATATCTTCGCTGCTACAACGTATTAAAAAGGACTTTGATAATCAATCAAAATATATTTTATATGACCACGTATTGCGGTGGTATCGTTTTATAATAAACCCAATAATGTAGAGTGGTGCGCAGAAACATTTGCGTCAGCCGGGATTCGAACCAAGATCTCACTCTTTCCGGGGCGCGTGCTGAACCATTGCACCGCCGACGCTCGCTTTTCACACCGTTTTTCCTACGCTACAACGCGTTATCTGTCAAGTATATGATTATTGGGTTTATTGTAACACCATACCACTGCAATAAGCGGTCAATTAAAATGAATTCTGATTAATTATTGAAACCCAATATCTGTCAACATGTCGATAAGTGTCTGCCCACATCAGACCGTCGACGGAAGGCTGTTGTATAACGCGTTGTAGAGTAGAAAGAGTGGTGTGCAAAATGACCGTTGATGGTGCAACGGTTCAGCACACGCCCCGTAAAGAGTGAGATCTGATTTTGAATCTCGGCCGACGTAAATGTTTTTGCAGAGCACTCTACACAATTGGGTTTATTGTAAAAAAAGGCTTTTTCAAAAATCAAGCACATTGTTGGAATCGCAAAGATTTACGATCTTCAGTGACTACCAAGTGCCAGAAGAAAAGTTTTGCCCACTGAGAAAGGCCTGCAAACAATCCTGCACCTCAGCTGGTACACGTCGATCCTTAAGGGCTAATAATCGACGCCGAAAGCTCTATCCTTTTCAGCACAAGAATGCTTAATTAAACAGTATCAATCCTTAATTTGCAACAATGTTTCTGACTATATACCTGATCGCAAAAGAATCCAATGGCTACGATTTTCATTATAAAATTGCTCTGATAATGTAAAATTCTCAGAGGAAATCCTATTATTTTTTTCTTCTCCCCCTCAGAACTACGAAGTTCACTGTGAGTTCTTCGTTTGTTTATGAATAGGTAGTCAACGTTTGCACCCCTGCCTCGTTCCTTTCATGAAACTCCGCATTACTCCTTCTTTCGAAAAGATAGATGAACATAAGTCTAGGTAAGATTTGGAAGCGCCGACTTACACCGTAATTATCGTGGTACGTTACGTTGCTCTTCAATGAGTACATGAATAGACCTGAATGACTAATGAACTTAATAAGTCATTTCTAGCTTGAGTAGTCTTCTCGGTAATTAATAATCATCGTTCGAACAGCGTGCTTCCGGAAAATATGCGAGCAATTAATACTAAGTAATGTTGTCGTTCGTTTCGAGTGTTTTTTTAAGACCACAGCTCAAGTTTCAATATGCCTGATAATTGATTTTCGAGCCACGCATGTCAGTGGCCTATCAAAGAGGACTGACTTACAGAGCTCAATACACGTGTTTCGATCTTGCGATCTCGCAGGCATATTGAAATTTGAACTGTGGTCTTGAGAAAACACTCGAAACGAAAGATATGAACTATTAAATGTACCAGCCAAGAGCAATCGATTGTACAAACACTCTGTGTTCGGTGATAATTCACTGGACATAGGGTGTAAAATGTTCGTCGACGCTACCTCTTAGTGTGGGGACTGGAGCACCCACACAGGATTGGCAAAAGACGAGACACGGTATATGCCCGACTTACGAGATCGCAAGATATAAAAATATGTGTATCGGGCTCTATAAGTCAGCCCTGTTTGATAGCCCACTGACATGCGTGGCTCAAAAATAATTATCAGGCACTGAGTAATGAGTTTGCTTTGATTATGGGTTTCGATTTAGCGATTTTCCAGCAAGTGGAACACATAATGAATGGCCATAGCTTTGCTATTCCACAAAATTACAAGGAGTTTTACTCGTTCAGCATTCAACATCATTCAAAAAAAGGGCGAACTTCGAAAGAAGCTGTCGAAGCGACATGCAAAATGTTAAGATCCTACTGTGATTCGCATATTAAAATGTGGTCCTCGTTAGGTAAATCCACGATAATAAAGAACAAGTCAAAGGGAATTATTGTTGTTATCTTCAATGCTCCTTCATGATCTTAAACTGCCCTTGTGCATGAGATCGTGATGTTTAGCAAAAGGCGATACTACCGTGTGGTCACTCAAGACGAAAAATAGTTCAACATATCTACCAAGAAACTCAGAAGAAAATGAATACCCTGAATACTAGATTGAAGAAGGTTCCTTAACGCACTCAAAAAATTCAAATTTTATGTTAGATTCACACAATATCGCGATCATTGTAAATTCATGGGAATATCCCAGAAATATTTACCTAAGAAATTCCCACGGCAGCGCTAGTTATAGTGCATCAAATTTAATTTCCTAAGGAAAAGTGCCCGACATTGAATTGTTCGAAGCGGTGCTGTTTTTAGCAAGACAAGCCAAACCTCACACCGCAAAGAAAACGAACGAAAGTTTGATAAATTTGGAGGGAATCGAGGTCATGCCGCACTCAGCCTGCAGTCCATAAGCTGCATCGTCCGGACATGGCTGGCGGTTTCCTCTTTATGGACATTTCCTGCGTGGACGCCCGAATCGAAACATTTAATTAGGTTGAAGAAGCATGTCAGAAAGGACTCAATTCAAACCCAAGAACTAATAAGAACCGGAATCTTGCAGATCGTTGGCAAAAGATCTTGGATGAGTGTGGTCTTTATTTTGAAAAATAATTGTTGTTCTTTCTAATCAAATTTATGTATAAACTTTGAATTTTCAGCCGGCACTAAGGAACGTCTTTCCACAAACTGATAGTTTCTGTTGTGGTAACCTAAATTCACCTGAATGGGAAGTCAATGTTTAAGATAAACATCCCACCTAAACACAGCAAAATATTAGAAGAATATCTCTTATAAGCTGCACTATTCTTCGAGGAAAAAGACGGCTTAACTAGATTTAAACAATCTTTCGCTGTTATTGCTCTCATACGATCAAATAATAGCCCGATTGATCCATATGTGCGAATAAAGTCGCCTCACATCAATCCGTCGTTACAGATGCCTAATGAGTTTTAACCTATGAAGAATGGAAAAGTAGTTTTCTGGAGCTAAACCTCCACTCCCTTTTCATCGGATACCAAACAACTTTCGCACGCTTTTTTATATGAGATATGTCAAGTCTTGCAATTTACTCACCACCTAGGAATGCCTTATTCTACATCAATGATGCTTTTGCAAGTTTTGGCCATAGAACTCATAAAGAGTACTTGTATTATGAGTAGGAAGTCTTCAATTATCCCCCTAACTCCCGATACTCGCTCATATTTCAGCGGAGTTCACGTCATTCTTTAGGTCGGACAAAGTTGAGCGATGCAAAATTTCGTATTCATGCGATAATGTGATGAACTTCGTAGAAATCCACATGTAGAAACGTTTGTTGAACTCTCCTTGGAATTCATTGTGAACGTACGTTCATTCTTTCTTGACAATGGATAGATTGAAGAACAAGATCTGAATAGCAGTTTTAATCATTAAAGAAAAGGACTGATTTCCATCACACAGGGTAGGTAGCCTTTCATCACCTAAAAAATTCGCGAAACAAGTCATATGGATTCCGGCAGAGTTCGCATCAAAACTAAATTTAATGTCCAGAGTATAGCTGCATACTGTACATATCCAAAACCAGGATTCTCGAGAGTACATTATTTAAATGACAAAGTTTATTTGACGGAACTTGCTACAATCTAGCTGCTAGATATGTTGGAAGTGATCTGCATTATTAAAGACTCAAAGCATATACTATGGGTAAGAGTCACTTTTATTGAACCCTAAAATCCAAATTTCCATTGTCGCATTTTACATGTTTGCGGTTATATTTCACATCGTAGCTGTCCAGAAGAAAAAAGATAGATAGCCAGTAATTAACATTGGAAAATTGTGATTTCAACGACAGCTTCAGCTTAATCGGTATTTGTGCCAATCTGTGTCTTCTAGATTAGTCATGCTGACGGGTGATTGCTGAGAGCTACCAAAAAGGCTAAAAACACGGCTGAGAGAAAAATATGGTAAGAGCTTCAATAACGCAGTGGGACGCTTAATGAAGCCGCCGAAAATGTTCATTACCGGCTCAAGTCGCTTTAGACTTCTAAATATTGCAAGCATGCGCTCTTAGGTTATAATATCTTCAAACTCTTTTTGGAGCAATAAATATGAAATCGAGAAAATAAAGAAGCCCATTGTATTCTGGAGTGGGCAAACTTTGCTAATCACAGTAATGTATGAAAACATAGTTCTTTTCCTCAGATTTCTCTACCGCGCCGGAAACATAGAGAGAAAATGTGGACAACATTTTATCTTTATCTTGAGCTATTTTGACCACAAGAAGATGATATTCCTAGTGATTTTAAAAGGGCATCGTAGACCACTGATCCTTCAATATAGAATAATTGCTTCATGTTAATACATCCAGTCTAGCGACTCTCATGTTCACATGAGTGAGAAAAAACCTTTGAACCTTAAATTTTCCACGAATAATGGTGACGTAACTCTAATTTCATTTCATAAAATCTCTTTTTATCTACTCATTCAAAGTACCGAGTAGTCATTTTCACGCTGCTTAGATAGAAGGGTTGAGTAATATTCCTGAATATAGTGTAAAAATTTGCTAATTTTCCTAGTAACCTCTGCTACATAAAGCTATGTTCAAATAAAACATTACTTGCTATTCAATTAGTACATCTTATCTTATGAAGGTTTTTCATGCAGCTGCTCTCGTTACAACAAACTAGAACCAAAACATTTCTAACAGTAGCTCAATATTAATTCTGATATAAACATGAAATGTTTTGATCTCATGATCAATCTCATAAGAGATTTAATTTGCTTGGCTGCCTCTAACCTATTTTAATGGAGTTCCAACTAAAAAAAAGCTAAAGTTGTCCATTGTTCTCCTTGCTTCTATCGCCTTTATCACCACCTGTAATTGCATAACAATGGTAATGCTGAGTAGCTCACACAATCAGAGAAACATGATGCAGTTCTTTTGATTGATCGTTGCTCAGCACTGACTCTGAAGAGCTCCGTTCACTTGTAGTACACAAACTGCACAGCTTGTTTTGCGTCAGCGACTTTGTGTTGTATTGGATGAAGAACGTGTATGGGGGTGCCATGGCCGAGTGGTTGTGAGGATCGTCATGGCGGCGCGGACTAAACCCAGCCCTTAACACTCTCCGGCGGTCAAAAACGAACGTCCCAGCTATGGCTACCCTCAGATTGCAAGAAGAAGTGCTCAATCAG